CAGTGAGGGTGCCAGAGCACTGGAACAGGCTGCCCAGAGAGGTTGTGGAGTCTCCTTCTCTTGGAGATCTTAAACCCGCTTGGACGCAGTCCTGTGCCACGTGCTCTAGGTGACCCTGCGTGTGCAGGGGTTGGACTGGATGATCCCTGGAGGTCCCTTCCAACCTTGAGCATTCCATCATTCCAGGGCTGTTAAACCCGGTGTCACCAGAAACACCCAGAAAGGGGCAGTTTGTGCCCAGAAACTGTGGGAAAACCGGTTCCAAGCACCGCCGTAACGGCGCCGGGACCCTCACCGCGTCCGCCCGCGGCACGGGCCGTGATTGGCCTCTAAATCCCGGTCTCCCAGGGTTTTAATTGCTGCTCTGGCGCGGCCGGGAGAGGAACTCGCTGCCGTCGGAGCGAGGGGGTCGATACGCCGGCCTGGAACATATTGAGCCGCGGCGCTCGCAGGCTTCTATTGCGCTATTTAATCATCTTTTGCAAAATTTACAGTGCAACGGCAGGGATCGATACGGAATTTATCACGTTCCCTTGTAAATATGAGCGGGGAGAGCGGAGCCGGGGATGGATGGGTTGGAGCAGGGGCCGTTATTGGGCACATCTGGAGCGGGGCGGCCCCGGGGACCCCGCGCTCCGGAGCTCACACTCACTCACGCTCACGCTTGCTCACGTCGCTCACACTTGCTCACGCTTGCTCAGTCACTCACACTCGCCCACACTCATGCTCGCTCACGTTGCTCATGCTTGCTCACATAGCTCACACTCACTCACACTCGCCCACACTCACGCTCGCTCACGTTGCTCACACTCGCTCACGCTTGCTCACACTTGCACACACTCGCTCACACACTCGCTCACTTGCTCACATTGCTCACACTCACTCACACTTGCCCACACTCATGCTTGCTCACATTCGCTCACACTCGCTCATGCTCACACTTGCTCACGTTGCTCACACTCGCTCACGCTTGCCCACGCTCACTCTTCCTCACATTGCTTGCACTCACTCACACTTGCTCGCACTCTCGCTCACACTCACACTCGCTCACGTTGCTCATACTCGGTCACACTCGCTCACGCTTGCTCACACTTGTGCACACTCGCTCACGCGCATGCTTCCTCACGTTGCTCGCACTTGCTCACACTTGGTCACAGTCGCTCACGCTTGCTCACACTTGTGCACACTTGCTCATGCTCACACTTGCTCACGTTGCTCACACTTGTGCACACTCACTCTCACACTCGCACTCGCTTGCTCACACTTGTGCACACTCACTCACACTCACACTCGCACTCGCCCACGCTTGCTCGCGTTGCTCACACTCACTCACGCTTGCTCACACTTGCACACACTCGCTCACACTCACTCACGCTCACGCTTGCTCACGTCGCTCACACTTGCTCACGCTTGCTCAGTCACTCACACTCGCCCACACTCATGCTCGCTCACGTTGCTCATGCTTGCTCACATAGCTCACACTCACTCACACTCGCCCACACTCACGCTCGCTCACGTTGCTCACACTCGCTCACGCTTGCTCACACTTGCACACACTCGCTCACACTCACACTCGCCCACACTCACGCTCGCTCACATTGCTCACACTCGCTCACGCTTACTCACACTCGCTCACGCTCACACTCGCTCACACTCGCTCACGTCGCTCACACTCGCTCACACTCACACTTGTCCCCGCTCGCTCACAGTGACTCCCGGCTCCAGGGTTCACGGCAGTGGGCGCCGTGCGGAGCCCTGGGGACAGTGTCCCTGCTCCGGAGGGAGCCAGAGGACGGGAACGCGCCCGGCATCCCGGCAGAGCATCCCAGCACGGCATCCCAGCACGGCATCCCGGCACGGCATCCCAGCACGGCATCCCCGTACAGCCAACCCCCCCAG